TTAAATTATATAATTTAACACATAATTTATATTTTACTGTTTTTTAAAATATATATTTTAAGTTTTAGATTATTTGGGTCTGTTAAATGATATTTAATTATTTTAAATAAATTTTCTCAAGTCTTTTTCCAAGTGTTACTTTTACATTTCTCAGTCTCCTGTATTTACATTACCTTATGTATTTCTGCCTCATTATGCAAAAAATGGCGCGGAGCTTCTTGGCTCAGCTCCTCTCCTATTGGTCAACAGATAGAAAGGAGCAGGATCCATGTGCAGGTCTACTGTGCTGATCAGTTTAGCTTAAAGTTTAGTTTAAAACAAAGGCACAGGTAAGAATTTTCCTCCTTGTCTTTGTTTTTAACAGTAAAATTTAACTTACATGCTAAAATATATAATTTATTGGAACTAAATAAATATGAAGGACAATTAAATTATAAAACATGAGTTTAAGTTCTCCTTTTTTAATTAAATGGTGCATTTTGAGAGCATTTATTTATTGGTCTATTTTTATATTTCTGTTTTTATTAATAATTATGGCAGTTTCAGTCCTCCATAGAATGTGGCTGGACATTAGCAGATTCATAGATCTGTGTTGGTGCATCTGAAAAAAATAATTAAACTATAATCAGTTCAGACTTGTGACTTTAAAGCCAATAAGCTCTTGTGATGTGCCACATTTCAAAACAAATTTATCACTGAACTYGAAGTGAGTATTAATTAGATAAGAAAAATAAATCAATTGTAAATCCCACAGAGGCTGAGTGATTAATGTACTCTTGTCATAAAGAAAAAAAACACATTAGAATTGAACTGAGTGGAAGAATTCACATTTAATAAGTTATAAGTTTGCAATTCTTCTGTGAAAGTTGCCATGAAAAGAAAACTTTTCAAACATAAATTAAAAAAACACAGAAGTTGCTCAGTTAATCAGATAACCAATATAAAGTTTTTCCTCAAATGTTATTCATGAATAAATAAAAAAAAACTATTATAACAGTGATTTACCTGCAGGGTGGGGAAGTTCTTCTCCATGTCGCCCCAGCTGAGCACCCAGACCTGGTCYTGGGATTTGTCATAGTGGAGCTTCACAGGATAAGGGTCGGTGCTGACCGTCTGGAAGAGAACGCAGAGCCTTTAAGTACACCGGTGCAGCAGAATAACAATTTTAAACAATCTAGTTATTGCTTTTAAAGAAATTCCTTTGATGTGAAGAAAAAAAAAAACCACGTCCCTCCGCACATTAATGCGTCGGGGGTCGATGGGAGCGATGAGGCGAGGTGGAGGTGTGCTTCTTTTTTAATGTTTGAGCCGTATTTAACGTTAAGCTGCATTTCAAATGGACTGTTGACAGACACGATTGCTTTATCACACCGAAGTAATTGCTTTTCATCTCGACACATGGCGTTTATATTCTAAATCAGAACAACAGATGAGTCACATGACGTTGAAGCGCTCCTCGTGTGTTACGTCCACCTGAGTGCAGGCAGACGGCTCACAGGGAATAAGAAAAGCACAGAGGAGAAGAACGCAGAAAGAAGCCATCTTTTTTTTGTCCCTGAAAACGTTATTACAAACCCTTATTCCCACAGCCCGTTTTGACGGCAGCGTATTCTCTATSATTTGTTTTGCTTTAGAGTCCTAATAGTATTGTTTACCTTGGCATAAAATACACTGTATCACTCAGTAAACTGCTCCTGAGAGAGTTCTCTCAAATAAGATGAGAAAATCAGCCYAATCCCAACTAATCTCTGAGCACGTAGTCATCAGAGGAAACAGGTGTTCAGATTCTGTTTTCTTTTTCTTTAGACGAACAGCTTCTTTCTCACAGAGGAAGATTATGAAGATCCTCCATCAATATGTTCTCGTAACTTCAGCCCAGACAGCGATTCTGTCGGGGYTGAAGCAGAACTTTACATTTATTGCAGAAACTTTCCTGACTTTACTTCCGCAATTATTCTATGAGGAGCAAAATACAACCTGCTCATTAAAAGTAGTTAAAAAATGTGAAACAGTAAAACCACCAAAAAAAATTTAATAAATGAATAAAAACCTGGATTTTCTCTGACTATTGGAAACGAGTGGCAGGTTCAGATGGTTAATTAACTACTGCTAACATAATGCAATGAAGCTAAACCTCCAGGCGGCTGAATAATGAGCCTGTGACAGACTCTGGGACAGCAGCCTGCTTACCGGCAGGTCCCTGAGAGCCTTCTGGGCAGTAAACAGCCATCATGGTGTCAGGAACATCTGCAGGGATCTAGGCCACCCTGCATTATCGTGGTACACCCCCACAAAAAAAAAAAAACCCACCAACACTGATGATTTAACTCGACGCTGCTCTCTAGAACTGCCCTGGATGTCGCCATCCAGGAATTGTGCCATTTCCTCATGAAATAAAATAAATAAAGACAGCTGTGAGCTGGCGGAGCGTCGGAGGGAAAAACTGCCAGAGTTGCCACGTCACGATGTCTGACGGGGCAGCTGGGCGACAATAACCGTGAAAGGGTGGATCCTCGGGGTGACTCGGTCGTCACATCAAGGTGGAYGTTAACTGCCGAGCTCGACGGTTGCAGTTTGTATGAAGTAGGTCAGGTCAGAGATTATCAGTCAACAAAAGAGACGACAGCTGATCTCGAAGATGAAAAAGCAGCACTTTAGAGAAACTGAGCAGAACTGATTCGCCGCACAGGTTTTAAACGAGAAAAAAAACCAACAAACTAATGTTACTGTTGATCTCTCCTGGTGTTTTGTAACATCTTATTGATCCTGATTTATCTAAGCTCACTTCAAAGCTAATGAGGTTTAGCTAATCTTTACACATGATAAACGACACGTCGAAGAATCACTGTCTTCCTAATACGTTTGGTTAACAGAGAGGTATAAATAGTTAAATTGAATTACAATTAGGAACGAGAAAAGAATACATAAAGGCAAATTAATTGCATCAAGCTACTTTATTTTTATAGTAACTCAAAAGTATTAAAATTACCTATTTAATTACAAGGTAAGGCTCTCGCTGGAGCGGTTCGCGGCCGAGTGCGAAGCGGCCGGGATGAGGCTCAGTGCCTCCAAATCCAAGGCCATGGTCTTG